TCATTACGCAGAAAACCACAAAATTTATCGCAACCAGTACGACTATTTCACGCCAATGCCGTTAAGCAGATAATACCTTAATTCGACGTCATATATTCGCGGCAAAAGCTTCAGATGAGGCGATAAATTGTGGGTAGAGGTGAAAAATAGGGCTCATGGATCGCGGCCACGCGCTCTCGCGCCCACCTCACGATATATGATCTTAAAATTTCCAGGTGATACGTGGATAGAGAGAGATTAATCATCCGCGCTCGCCCGCCGCGCCGACACTCGCTGAATTAATGTAAAACGCCGTATAATCGATACATTAATAAAAAGTATTTTACCGTACATTCTCCCTTGATAACATTTTACGCGCGGCATTTATTATAACGATGTGTAACGCCTAACGTATTACGTTAGCGCTTTGACGTCTTCGTATAATGCAATAACGTTTGACTGACTTACGTACCATATAGTGATATGTTTCTGAATTAATTCTGACAAAAGGAAACGAAAATTAAAAATCGGTCGAAAGGAATGAGCATTCATAACTAGCCTTTTTTATCACTCTCTTGAAGCAGTACATTTGACAAGTCTCTGTAACGATTGATGCACGCATTTATGTCCATTTCAATGACCGTTCGAAATTTCGCTTCAGAAATTCTTTAAAAAATTCACGAAGGCCAGACGTAAATAAATATACGAAAATTGTATCCAACTGTTTGCCATCTCTATCCATTTGCTTAGAAAGCTCACAACTAGGAATGTGATAAAAACAAAAAAACCAGCGAGCCTTACAGTAGACGCATATGATGTGCAACATCTGACATCTTATCTTAACTTGGTAATAAACAACATACATTATATCCTGAAGTTTTTTTTTTGAAAAAATTTTTCGTGACAAAAATAATTATTTTTAATGTTTTTAATGAAAATTGTATTTTATTTAATTAACACTAGGAGTAATGCAATTTTTTTATTGAAAACAGTTATTTTATCATACTAAACCAATATCAGCATACACGTTCTCGTTCGACACAAACCGTAAGGTGTGACAGAGCTGATTTAAAAAACATATAGTTTTAAAAATTTTCATTACTTTCAAAAACTGAAAAAAATACTTATTATGTAATTCTTTTCTATATGTATTTTTTGACAGTTCTGTCATCTAGACCTAAAGCTCACGACGCCAAAACGAATCTCATTTTCTATGAAAATGTGAAATTTGAGGAAGGAGATCGAATAAACGTTGTCAACATCAAAATATTATTATTAATACAATACTACTCCGTAGTAACTATGAGGACCACCATATGCCATAATGAAATCAAAATTAACTTTATTTCGTAGATAATAGAATTACACTTGAAATCGTCATCAGCAATTCTTTTCGATAATAATATTACCATTCCAAAAGCTGATTCTCCTTGAGAAGAATGTGCAACAAACTCAAGGGATGCTTTTTTTTTTACTCGTCTTTATATAATTTATATTATTACAATACAAAGTAGTGAATAATTAATAAATTAGTACAACATTTAGAAATAACATGAAGTAAACTTACAGCGGAACAGTTCAACCGAATGGGTGTTTTTCATTAAGATATTAATCAGACATGATATAATAGCTCTTTCCTTTTCCCGATACAATTTATTTTTAAAGAAAAGTTTAAATTTATCAAATGACAGATTTTAAATTCAAGCTGGGATCTTATTATAAAAGCCCACACATTGATCCTTAAATCCTTAAATGATTTGCTAACTTTATTTAGTCGGGTTTTTTGAGCAGCTAGATGGTTCTCATGTCTAGTGTTAATATTACGGATGTCGCTCATTTTTATGGAACGATTCTATATTCTTCTTTGCATGTACCAGGTTTTCGTATATGTATTGTAATGTTACAGTTAAATATTTCTCTGAGAGATACTTTTGATCTCAAATTTTAAGTCGCACGAACAGCCCGCTTCTGCAGAATAAAATTGTGTTGATATCGGTTACATGATACACGATAATAAAGTTCAGTAGGTGATAAGACTATGAAAGGAACTGAAATAAACTAGTCTCGTGGTATTTTCATGAGCGAGTTGCCGAATGCTTTTCACTGCATGTGCTGCAGAACTAAGTTTTTCACCAATTTTGTATTATGAGAATCCCAACGTAACTTAGCATCTACAGGGCGACTGATAAATAAGGTCGTGTCCACAATGTCCAGTATCTCGTTCTTGACTTTTGCGTCGATCGGTTTAGCGTTAGTCAAATAGAATAATCACACTAAACTTAGAGCTAACGTAACGCTACCAGCTACGCAACACGCATCATATGAGTGATTCTAATTTCTCTAAATGAACATTCTTCAATAATCTTAAAATCAAAATTAGGCAAATAATAAATAACTCTTGCACATACCATATCATATCATTTTGTAAAATCGTACTTAATTTAATCTAACAAAAAATTTTGTAAAAAGTAATTTCATACGGGACCACAAGAGTACCATTAAATATCTACCAATTTTAGAATTATGGATTTAAACAATAGATAATTTGATGGTCGAGACTGCTTTTTATCAAATTTTGATTTCTTTTTTTCGTTTTTTGAGAGATTTGAGATTCTTTCAGGAAAGTCATAAAAATAGGTCTAAAATTTGTGTTTTATTTTTATTAAATGAGTTATTAACAATGTTCATTTTTTGATGTAGCTCAATTGTGTAGCCTTTTCAATAACATATCTTTTGGTACAATTTTTATTCCTTTATCTTAATAACTGAAAAGGATAGACCTCTGTACCTCAGGTACCCTGCTGAAGCGATTGATAAAACATTTTCAATTTTAAAACATTATGTGGTAAGCAATATTCTTTTGCTCAGCATATATATTATTCAAACAAAGGAGTAGATTATTAAGAATACTTTTTCGTGGAGACGAAACAGCGCTGCGAGCCGGCGGCGAGCGTGGGCGGCGCCGTACGTGCGACGCGCGGGCGCACGCCGGGCCGGCCGGTTACAAACTCGCGGCGGTTAATTTACGAGCCGCCCTACAAATTAATATCTCTGATTCGGACCCTTGTCAGCGCGGCCCGGACCTTTATTGGGGGGCGGGCGGGGCGTGTGCGTGACGACATATTAATCTCCGTACTCCGGCGGCGCTCCACCGAAGCCTCTCGATATTAAGCCTACAACGTGTCCGACAGCCGCCCGCCCTCGCCTCATCTTATACGACAAATTCCGCTCTGATCACGTAATACGTACCGCTTTGTAACTTTAGTGGTTCCGCTCACGGCGTTCCGGTTCGTGATATATGCCGTTTGTGGCGTTCGGTGTTGTGGAACTTGTATAAGCCCTTCCGAAAATCAATTTGTGTCACGTGATTTTCAGACTATCGCTGACGTAGTAATATTTGTGCAACAAATACTTTTTTATTATTACAGTGAAAATTACTTATGATTGAAATGTCAGTACACATTCACTTGTAGTAAGTGACGAAAAATTGAAAAGGGTACACAATTGAAATTATGTTATTAAAAGGTTAAATAAGTAGAACTTATTATGTGTATAAATAAATAAGAGAAAGCGATCGCCAGTTGGAATCGGCGCGACAAGGATTTCGTTTCCTCTAACCGACTTTCGGCCGCATCTCCGCTATCTCTATTTCAATCGCTTGGAATTAAAATGGAGTGCAGGAGTGCAATGGAGTTCCCTCTATCGCGATTGTTACCCTCAGCCAGTACAATTCTACTTTAATCCCAATTCTATTATTTCTTCCGGTCCCGGTCTTGTTGTCAATATCAATCCCAATCCTGCTCACGATTGGTCGCGGTCAAGATCAAAGTATCGTGATTTAAGATTGTGTAAATCACGCAACTTTAATCGGAAACTGCGTCATTATGGAGTGAAAGGCAGGACACTGAACCTTCTGAAGTCATATTTAAGTAATAGAATTCAGAGGATTGATGTTGATGGCAAGAGATCGTTTAATTCTGTGGTCCGCATAGAGATACCACAGGGATAAGTGCTTAGTACGTTTCTCTATTTAGTTTAATATTAACGACTTACCCAAGCATGTTGGATACTGTTTGCAGATGATAATTATTTAAAATTAAAAGTTAACAAGTCGCTTAAGACGATGGGAACAATGCTATATGGATGATAAGGAAATAGTTTACTGACTGCACATAGCTTAATTTTTGATGAAAATAAAATGAAGGGAATAAAAATCACGCTTACGAATGTGAGCCATAGATTCGGAACTATTTTGGTACAAAACGAGAAGTTAGATGTTATTGGTACTGATGTATTCCTGGGCTCTGGTCTAGATAAAATACTACGATGCGGTCCTTAAACTAAAAAATTGCGAAAGGCCTTGGTCGGTTGCATATGCAGTAAAAAATGCGAATGTTGTCAAATGTATCGATTGCCAGACTAACTTATTTTGGCTGTTTTCATAGCCTGATGTCATATGGCATTTATTCTAGAGACATGTCGCTGATAATATATAGAATTTTCATGTTGCAGAAACGGGTCATTCGAACAATTTACAAATTGGGACTTCGAGTGTCTTTAAGGGGTAAATATAAAGAAATTGGAGTCTTAACTTTGGCATCGCAGTTTATACTGCAAATTTAATACATGTAAAAAAGAATATTGAAATGATCGAAAAAATTGTGATCGACGTAAATTCAATACAAGAAATAAAAATTGTGAGTCAGTTTCGACGTGCGACTGGAGTTCACGCTTGAAGTGCAATTATTTTTAAATATACAAGACAAAGGAATAAATAAACGTATATTTTATAATAATGGAACAATGTTTATACTTTAATTCGTATTTATTTATATTGATGCCATAAAATATTATATACAAATCATATTACTTAAAAGCCTTGTTTGTTACAAGTTTGTGAAAATTGTACGCCTAAACAAAAATTTCTGCAATTATAATTAACTCTTATCGAAACAAAAATAATTACATTATTAGATACCGTTATATGAAACAATAATTCTTATAAGTTAAAAAAAAAAGTCTGGCAGCGGTTGGATTCGAATCCACGCCTTCGAAGACACTGGTGCCTTACATCAGCGCCTTAGATCGCTCGGCCACGCTACAATTGAACACAGTGTAAAAATACTAATAGAGATCAAATAGGTATTAAAAAACGTAACATTTTGAGTTAACGCTTGTATTATTGCACTCATAAAATTTCCGTACCGTACACCTTCCATGAAAATCGATCCTTAAGGAGTAAACTCCAAATATAAACTATCCTTATACGTCCGTCGCTTAGTCATGAACTCGTTTATAGGGCTTTGTGCGTGTTTATTCAATAAGATTTCTGTAGATATTCAAAACTTACCCTTAAAGCAATTCAACATAATTATTAGACAATTACTTGGTAAAAAAGGATATTATAAAATGTTCTATTATTTTGAGAACTAATCTCCATGGACGGAACCAGCTCGACTTCTTATCTGGTTGTCTCTTTTTGTAATACTTTTGCTATTGACTGTATCATACACAATTCAATTTCAAAAGAGCTCCCATTAAGTTTCTCTCTCGTTCTTCTCGAAGGAAAACTACCTTCCGAACTAGATGTGAATTCATATTATAATGGCGTATTTCAAGAGTTCTGTAAGTTACCTATGAAATAAGGAAAATTTTGAATTTGAAATTTTATTCTGAATTTGTTCAAGATTCCAATCCCTCTCCCACTTTCGATGCCAATCATTCAGTATAACAGTTGTGAGCTATGCGGTTTTGCGCGCATGGAATAGTAATTTAGTACTATGTTCCGTCCGTAATTGAATTGTTCACTTAAAAAACTGCAATTATCACTGTAGGTAGTGTTTATGCATGTAATTAGATACACATAAATGTATATTTTACTAATAATTCTAAAACTTAAAATTATCTGTCACATCACACTAATATTATAAACGGCAAAGTATGAAGATATATGCTTGTTACTATTGAATGCTGAAATTATTTTAAAGTTTTGAACAAAGTCATCAATATTACAAAATAAAAAGATAAAAAAAAATTTTATAAGAAAAAAAAAGTTTATAATTGGTTGCGTAGTTCCAGGTATGATCCTCTATATATTATAAACGTATGTAGTGCGTGTGTAATTTTCACAAACGCAACGTTAAGAATTAAATTAAAAAATACATTTTTGTGTAGGAAAGTTTCTAAAAGTAAAGGGTTTTTGCTTCTTGGTTTTGTTTGTGGAAATTGTAGTATAAAGATCATTCGAGGATATCCAATAGTATCATATGTAACAAAGTCATGTAAAAACGATCGGATATCTAAATACACTTTAACAAGGGCAAAAGTAATTAATATATAAATCTAATTTAAAAAGTATGCTAAATTTAATTATGCCAACAGTTGCCATATAGATTAAAATGAAAAGGCAAAATGAAATTCTAATTTAGGCAAGAAAGATACGCAAAGATCGTAATCATGTGAAAATCCGCGGTCTCTGCCTGCCCTTCTGTAAAACAGGCGAGAGTTTATAATAATAGATATGCTATACGAACTAAGTTACGTATTAAACTGTTACCTCGAATACAAATCAAATTGGCGCTATCCCGGTGTTGGTTGTTTCAAATGTTCTTACACATATTAGGTAAAGTTCCCTTAATAACAATTACAATAATGACGTATTTCAAGTGTAATTCGATTACCTACGAAATATTTTTATTATTTTTTTTGATTTGATATTTAGTGATATAGTTTTACTTTTACGATTTAACATTGAATAACCGCCAACAGACAACACGAGTGATATATCACTCGTGTTGTGATATATCACATAATACCTTATAAGGCACAACAGCCTAGATTGCTGCGCGAGAGCGAGGAGTAGAGACTCCAGGCAACGACGACGGCAGCCGGGATAACAAAAACATTTGTACAAGTGGACGTGCGTTTGCGACATGAACGCTTATGGAACACCCCCACGGCTTGCGACTTAACGAACTTATTGCAGTCGGTTAGCCGCAGCGTAAAGCGGGTGCAAGTGAACCGCGAGAGAGCTTACCTTGACGTGAACGCGTTCACAACAAAATTTAGGGTTTTCGACACAAAACCGTCATTAGATAAAAGTTTCAAAAAGAAAAACCATTTTACACGGATTAAGCATACATTAACATTTATAAAGGGATTATAAGTATTTAAACGCCAAAATCGTTAAAATATACTTTTTCTATTATAAATTTAAATAATGAAAGAATGTAAGTTTCTTACATCTCGGGAATCATCGAGTTATACACAATTTTTTGACCTATTCTGTCCACCAACACCAATGATGATGATTGATGTCAAATATCTTTTATATGATAATAAATCACGGGTCTTTTAAAATGACTAATAGTTATCTAAATACGATAAATAACACGATAAGTATCCTCAATCCTATAAATGCTGAACTGTACAAAGCAATTATAATAATATTGACTTTGGGACACTCATACGTTCACTTCCTACAGTTTTTAAATACAAAATAATAATTGCTATTCAAACATATAACTGATCAACACAAAGCTTCGCCTCTCCTAGCACCCGTTGTACCAATTAGACGGACTAAAGTTAGGAACATCTTGATCGTTTTACAAACTGCCTCATAACGTGTAGCTCGAGACACAGAATATTCAACTCGACTCAAGGTTACGATTATCTTGTTGGAATTGCTTAATGAAAATGCAATAAGAAACATTTACTTACCTGGGCCATAACTACGAATATTTACTATTTCTGATATCTTATGTTTCGTAACTGGAAATATTCGTCAGCTATAATGCAAAACACTGTTTTGTATTAGTCAATTATCAAAAAAATTACAAATCCGCATGTAAACAACTACGAAATAAAATAGTATTTCAAATATGGGGTCCGTTTTACAAATAATTCAGAAACAGTAAGCGTTTAGTAAACATTACAAAAAAAATCGTTTAAAAGAGGAACAAATTGCGAACTCAACACATCGTACTATCGGAACTCTATCCCAATCATTTGTAAATTTGATATTTACAGTAGAACTTTGTATATGAGTGGCGACGCAATAGCTTCATGCTTCTGCCATAGCAAAAAATGCTCATACTATTATTGGTACGAACAATTTCATGCCTTGAGCGCGAGCGTAGGTACGCTTCTACTGTCGCCTGAAAATCCCACTACACTGGGTGTGACCACGATAACTAAAAAACGATTTAACTTTTAAACTTAATTTCTTTTTCAATCTCATCACTAATCAATTAGGAATAACTGTATTGAAAATCACAGCTTGACATAGTACCGATTAGCTGTAATTGAATATTTTAACTGGCATTATTCATATTTTGATCGGCCATTTCGCTTAAATATCTAAAATAGAGGTTGAGATTGACCGTGAAGTTGTTATTACATGTTTTGCATCATGATGTCTAATAAATATGAAATTACCTATCCTTTTTTTCGATTGAAGTTTACTATAAAACCATTTAAAAATCAAAAATAAAAAAGAGGATTTTTGGTGAAAAGCTCATATGTTATCATAATCCTCTAATTTAAATAACATACGAATGGCACCAGCGCTTAAAGCATGCACATTTGGTTTTACCAATTGTTTTTATTTACTCATTGCAAATATTTATATATTAGTTTAATAATGACATTAACTTTGTTCACGATTAAATACTGTGGAAAATGGAAGATCATGGGGCGATTTTTTTTAAGATTATTATCTATCGTGGAGGCGTACCATACTTGAGTTTATAACTTCGATATTTATAATTATTTAAACATGTTAAATTTAATTTTTAAAATATCGACTTTATAATCCAAATTTCTTACTTAGTTTTATGTAATTACACTAAAGACGAAGTGAAATGAAATTTAGCTGAGTGGAAACTTAAAATTTAAACAACGATATAGTGGTCTTGACATTATTTTACACGTAGTTTTCAAAAAACAAAATCATATTCGTCGTTTGGCGAAATATTGAAATATATTATAATAGTAACTTGTATCCCAAAGGAAGACACAGTGACTCGTCATATTATGAGTGAATGTGCAAAAAAAGGATGTTCACAATTAATCATTATGCTATATAGTGAAGATATTTTAATGCTGTTTTAATATTATCGACTATTAAAAGAATTAGGATCAAGGAACCGGAACTAGAATGTTCGATGGAAATCCTAGGACCCTGTACATACAAAGTTTACCATTATTTAATTCAATTCATTCTACACAGATACTTTGTAAAAAAAAATATTACACAATTTCCGAATATTTAGAAAACAAATTCCATCAGCACAGTCGGCTCGATTTCTAACTGGATCATTTCATTCTGTAATAATTTTATGTATATCTGCATAAGACAAAATTAAAAAAAAAATCAAGTTTGTTGCACTTTCTTTTTGCGATAAAACTGCCTTCCAAACGAATACTAAAATCGCAAATTCATAAAATTTAATAACGTTTTCAAATGGTACGTAACATATGAAATAAGCATATTTTAAAATTGAATTCGAAATCTAAGAACCAGAATCGGATTCTAGAAAGCCACTGCGATTGATACAAGATCGATATATGACATGAAGAATCTATCTCTATCATCGAGAGGGAAATTGCGGACAAAATTTAATTATAAGGTAATTAGTACAAAACGCAAGATACGTTTTCTAAATATTGTAATAAAAAAAAAATAAGTTTAAATTATCAATGATTATTTTTATAAGCATAGGGCATCCCCTATTATGAGTCCTTATAGCTAGCTAAGTTTAATGCTAGTTCTCGCTTCACATTAAGTTTACCTTTAAATCAACCAATCAAACTGATCAATAATGTCGGGATATAATAATGATAAGATGTGTAAAAAATTTTTTTTTGTGTTTCTAACAATGAATACACTCAATAAAAAATCTTCTTACATCTATTTATGAACAAATGATTACTCAAAAAAAGTTCGTTCTAATTTTATCGACAAAGAAAATAGTAAACACATCACTAGTTCCGTTTCATCGAGAGCATTAAGGAGCTCACACGACTCTCGTAACCGGCGTGACACACACTCCGGGAACTTTGAAAGCACTAAAGTGCAAGGAGTCGTTCGTGTTTCAGTACCG